TGACTTGGTCCTGGGAGAGTGTCATACAGTGACACCTCTGCTATCTTTGACCTTAGTTTCACAACACAGATGAACTAAATCCATCCATCCACCCCCCCCATCCATCCATCATTCTTTCATTCAACAAGTATTGATCAAGCGCCATAAAATGCCAGGTTCAGCCTTAGCAGACAAGATACTTCTCCTGGTGGAATCTCCCCTGGAGAGATCGACAGGTGGCTAACCACAGAAAGAAATACACTGCACTACAGACTTGACAAATGCCATGAAGAAAAGGCAAGGGTAGGAAGAATACAAGCAGGAATGGGGCATGACATATAGAACATTCTAGGCCAGTGATTCTCAATCATCCTAATGCTGTGACCTTTTAATACAGTTCCTCCTATTGTGGTGACCTCCAACCACAAAAGTATCTCATTGCTGCTTGATAACTGTAATTTTGCTATTGTTATGAATTGTAATGTAAACCTCATTATGCATTATGATATGCAACTTCAAAGGGGTCACAATCCACAGGTTGAGAACCACTGTTTTCGCCAAAGGACACAGCTTAAGAAGTGAGCGTGGCAACTTCCAGGACTGGATAGAGCCAAGGCTGTGTACTTCATGGCAATGAGTGAAGAGTGCTGTTCTCAATCATGTGACTGCTTACTTCCCTCCAGCTTTACTGTAAGATCAAATTCACCCCTGGGAATTTCTGGCCTCATAATTTCTGAGCTACATATTCCCTCACCTCCCAGAATCAGGTCCCCTTACAACCCTTTGTCTCAAAAATTCCTACTAGCCCTTCCAGACCCAGCTTGAATGTGGCTGGATGCAGAGCTGGATATTCTGCTCTCATGTTCAGATCCACGGGTTCCTGGTGGTCTTGTAAGGAGGGGGAGGTGGGAGGCCGGAGGTGTGCTACCCAGTTAGCCTTAGGGTCTTGGGACCCTTACTCAGCCTTTCTTCCATTTTGAAGGGAAGATGAAACCCTGCAGTGGGATGGGGCAGAGGGACAGCAAGGGCTCAGATCTTTGCTGCTCACCTATGAGCTGTGGCTTTGGGCAGGTCACTTAGCTTCTCTGAGTCTCTGTATTCTGCATTGTGGATTAGGACCCAGGGCATGCCGACAGTTGCAGTCACGAAGGCTCAAGAAAACCGCAAGAACTTTCTCCAAGTCTCCATCCACCTCTGAATCTGCCTGACCCCTCAGTCCCACCAGGTGGGACTCATCCTTCAGTACTCCATCTTCCGGCACCCCTGTCTCTCACAAATTTCTCAAGCCTTAGCCTGCCCCACTAGAGAGCCAGCTAGCCCCCTGCCCGGTTTCATGAAGGTCTCCTAGTGATGCCAGTCCAACCCTCTCTCTGTGGCTCTTGTCTCCTCCCCATCGTTAATCTCACCCAATAGTTCTGTTCTCCCCAGAGGACAATCTAGGCTGGAAGCTTCTGGAATATGTTAAATAAAGGCCCCTGCACTAAAAGCTAGAGAGATAATTCAATGGATTCTTTAATGTGGGCCCTGGGTCCCATAGTCAGCAGTAGGAATATGAGGGGAGAGAACTAGACCAGTGAGGGGCCCCCAGAAGCCTGGGCACCCCATGCCCCTGCCCTGCCTGCTCCCTGGAGAAAAGGTCCCAGTCCCTCCTATTTTCCCAGCCAGGAATCCTGCTGGTTCCCACATTACCACATGAATGGGGCACATGCCCCCCTGTCCACTTGAGCAAACAATTTGGCTAGCAAATTGACATAATTACCAAAGACTGGGAAGAAAGAAGCCCCCACCCCTTGGCCCCCCAGAGGGTGGCTCCTGCAGAGTTCCTCCAGGGCTTTGTAGGCTGGGGCGCTCAGGGCTGATTAGGGACCTTGTGGCCTTTTCAAGAGCCCTAAGTGATTGGTCCCCTTAATCTGATTACAATTTGCAGAGCCCCTCCAGCCGCCTCTGAAGGGCTGCTCTTGAGCACCCTGCTCCATCAGCCCTCAAGTACACACACACACACACACACACACACACACACACACACACACACACACAGATATTAGGCTGCCTATTTTTAAATCGTCCTACATACATACTACACCCAGGCCAGAGCAGCTGTGCACACCCCTTCAGGCACAACTACTCATCACCCACACATCCCACCTCCAGGTGGCCTCCTCAGCACCCAGGACCAGGCTGCAGGACCCCATCGAGTGCAGACTGTTTCCCCAGCAGCTTTGTCTGGGTTCCTGGGCCTGGCTCCCAGGGGATTAGGCTCAGCAGGCAATCTGGACACAGAGCAGGCTGCTCCAGCCCCCGGCCTGGGAATTCAGTTCATGGCAGTCAATGGTCCAGGCACTCCATATCCAATTGGGAGCTCTTAATTCTCTTGGCCCAGCGACAATGGCGCATTTTCCCATCCTTGCTGCTGCCTGCCACCAGCCTCAGCTTGGCCCCCTACCCCCAGTGTTTCTCTACTGTAGCTAAGTGCCCCCTCTCCAGGGCTTAGGGCTTGTATACATGTGTGGGGCCCTCTAGGGTGACCTTTGGCTTGATGCACCATCCTAAGGGAACCATAGTCTGGAAACCCAGTAAGATTAGTGCTTGGTGTAAGAACCACACACAGTTCAGACCATCCTGAAAATAGGGGGTGGGGTGGGGCTGAAGGCTAGGCCTGGTGTCAGAGGCTGGAACAACTGTGTGTGTGTGCTCAGAGGGCCATGTCTCACTGTATGCTACCTTTAAGAACACTCTTATTTATCCAGGTGGTGGTGGTTGCATGCCTTTGATCCCGTAGCTCAGGAGCAGAGGCAGGTGGATCTCTGAGTTTGAGGCCAGCCTGGTCTGTTGAGTGGGGTCCAGGGCAGCCAGGGCTACACTGGAGAAATCCTGTCTTGAAAAACAAACAAACAAACAAACAAAAAAGAACACGAAGTCTTGGGAGACTAAGGCAGGCTAGATATGGAATTCCAGGCCAATCTGAGCTACATAGTGAGACTTTCCCCATCCCACCACAGTGGCCTTAAAAGCAGGGTGTTAGGATCTCTCGGCCTCCATTTCCCCACCAGTGGTAAACCTGCAAGTCTACAGCCACTCTCTCGGGTCCCTGGAAAGTTAAATGACTGGGTGGGTGAGGGAGGTCTTCAGCATAGTGCCCAGCCTGGAGCTCTGTGCACACAGGGGAGGGGACCTGAAGCACATATATAGGACATCGGCAGGGCAGCTCTGGTGGACCTGCAAGCTCCCTGGGAACCTTCACAGTCCAATTTTCTGGTACAGTGCCCTTGCCCCCAGCGCTGTGAGACCTCATTCCTGTTCACATCACGTTAAGGCAACCTCTGCCCAGCTCGCTCCCAGAAATGGGTTGGGCGCCGCTTTTCAAGGCAGCCGGATGTTGCCCAAGGGCAAAAACTTGTCAGTCGCTGTCCTCAGTGCCCAAGTCCTGTGATCACAGGGTCAGGGGGAGCTGCAGGCACACCACAGCCCCGTCAAAGCCTGGCCCACCATTGGTTTTTAGCAATTTGGGAGATGGTTCAGAGACCTGAGATGAGAACCTCTAGAGAATCATGCTCCCTCCACTCCAAGGCTATCCCTCCTCCTGTACCCCTTGTGGACCCTGCCCCTGTACTCTTCGCAAATACCCTCCCACGCTCCCTGAACCCTACCATCGGCCCTGCCCCTCCCAGACCCCAAACGCGTCCATTGAGCCCCTCCCACACCTCGCCCCTGCACCCCGCCACCTGCACCCCATTTTTTGTTCCCTCCCAGACTCCGCCTCTACACCTCACCACCTGCGCCCCTCCCACATCCCGCCCCTGCACCCCGCCCTGGCCTTACAAGGACCCTCTGGGCGGGACCGCTCGGCCGTGGGGGAGGGGCCGGGCCGATCAGCTGGAATCAAAGCCGCCGCCCCCTCCCCCGCCACCCCGTCCCCCTGCCGAGCCGCCGCGCACCTCCTCCTTTGTCACAATGTTTTTCAATCCGGTGAAGCAAACTGTCCAATTAGAGCCGGGGCCTCCGGCTTCCATCTTTGCCGACGTTTAATTAACATGCTCCTCTTGGCAGCTGCTGACAAGTTCCAGAAACAGGTTGTAAAGGGTTTTTGTCTTTACCCAGCATGGAAAATAAGGGGTGTTACATCGCGGAACATGAATAGGTGGCACTTCAGCTTCCTCCTTCTCTCCTCCCCCTCCCCCTAATCTGCAAAGGGGAACCGAGCCCTGAGTGTTCGTGTATGCGCGTGTATGTGTGTGAGTGAGTGTGTGAATTGCCAGGGAGACGGGGAGAGAGTCAGAGGCAGGAGAGATGATCCCCTTCCTCTCTTTATCCCTTCTTTCCTAGGAACCTTTGCTCCACAAAAGATTTGGGTTTCTTTGCTCTGTAGCCTGCACACTTTCCCATCACCTCTTGATGCCTGTCCTCGAGTTTGCCCATGCTACTCCCTGGTTACTCCTATTCATCCTCCACAACCCCGGCAGGCTACCACCTAGTCACTGACTGCCTCTGCAAGCACTCGGGTCATAGTCTACCTGTCCATCTCACTCTGGGAATTTAAGGACCTGAAGCTTTCCCCATTGTACAGCAGGAGCGGGGCTGGGCTGGCAGAGGAAGGGGAGGTCCAAGGAAAGCCCCGGATGGGGACCCCTCCCTGCCTCTCCCCAGCCTGCTGGGATATACTCAGAGCAAGTTAGTGGCCTTCTCACTAGTGTGGGCCGTTAACAGGAGGAAAAAAGGGTGCTTGGGGAATAAACGCAGCTGGGGCTGAGCTCCTGGGCTTCCCAGGCTGAGTGAACTTCCTCTAGACAGATTATCTCTTTGGGAAAGCAGTCAGAACCAGGCAGGAGGCCAGGTTCTCTGGGTCTATATATCCCCCACAGGAGCCCTACCAGAGCATTCACACCCATTCTACAAAGAACATCAACATTTATTTACTACACAGGATAGAGTGGTCTGAGGTCCCTGGGAGCATGGCAGGTGTGGTTGGGGAAAAGGCAGGGCTGGAAGAGTCCATGAAGCAGTGCCCCCAGGGAAGGCCACCCCAGCCACTGTCCATGCCACTTTCCACAGGATATTGAGCATCGCGACCCCAGGCAGGGGCAGACCTTCTGCAGCTGACCCTGGCTTGGAGCTCACTTTGTGGGAATCTCCTCCTTCTCAGGCAAGCCCCCTGGGATGAAGGGGGTGTGGAAGGTGCTGGGGCCAGTCAGCAGGACTTTTGGCTGCCCTGCTCCAGAGTCCCCAGCTAGGTGGGTCCAGCTCTTTCCAGAGCCTGGGGACAGTCTGTGAAGCCTGCAGGGAGAGAGGGACAACAGCGGGTGGTTTGTGTCCCAGCCAGGCCTGCTGCAGCCTCCTGGCACCAAAGTGGGTATGGGCTTTGGTCCTCCCTAAAACCTTCTCTCCTAGACCCTGGACCTTTTATTTTTACCCTAGACCCAGCTACTTCCAAGCTCTGGTCTCCAAGGAAGGCAAATGTTTATAAGAACAATGACAATGACCTTGAGAGACCCCAGTTCCTTCATTTGTTAGCTTGTGGCTTGAATTCTATACCTTAATTTCTTCAGCCATTAAAAAGAGAGGGCTGGGGATGTAGCTCAGTTGATGGAGGGCTTCCCTACCATGCTCAAAGCCCTGAGTTTGAAGCCCAGCATTGTATAAACTGGGTGTGGTGGCACAGTTCAATGTCATCCTCGGCTACAAAGTGAGTTCAAAATCAGCCTGGGATATCTGAGATCCCGTCTTTAAAAGGGGTTAGGGATGGTTGGTCATGGTGGCATACATCTGTAATCCCAGCATTTGGCTGAGGCAGGAGGACGCTCAGTTCCAGGCTAGCCTGGAATATGAACAAGAGGAAAGCAATTATCCTGCTTCACAGAAATTTCTCAGGGGTGGGTTGGTATTACAGAATCCTGTCAATGCGCCGCACTCTACAGAGGGGAAGGAAGAAGGAAGGTCTAGCCTGATCTAACCCGGTAAAGCCAGATCATAGACGAGGAAACCAAAGCTTGATCTCTAGGATGAAGAGACTCTCCAAGTCACACCGCAGCAAGCAGTCACAAAACCAGGTGTGTCTCTGGGTCTCTTTCTATACGTTCCTCCAGGCTAGCCAGTCTATCCTATCCCAGGGGCAGGAGAGCTCACACCTTCACATCTTTATGCTTGCTCTTTGTTCCCTCATTATGGCATCTGGCTTTGAGAGCTGGGCCTTTACTGAGAGGACCAGACCACCATCCCCCAAAGATAAGGCTTACCTGCTTTTCACCTGCCTTGGGAGCTTAGTGTACCAAGGATGCTGAAGGTACTGGAGTTGCTAAGGATACTGGAGGTGTTGGAGGTACTGGAGGAACCAAGGATGCTGAAGGTGTTGGAAGGACCAGGGGTATTGGGGGTACCAGAGGAGCAGGATGTTTGTGGGTGAGGTCCTCAGGAATGTAGACGTTGCTCACCTCTTCATGAATCTGTGGAGAGAGGAAGCTAATTCCAGGGTCTAGGCACAGGCAGGAGCTGATATGCCTAAAGGTGCTGGGGTGAGCCAAAGGCTGTAAATATTGTGTGGCGAGTGCCATCTTGTGGTCATGTTAAAGGTCGCACGTTACAAACATTCCTTTATAGCTCGCAAAGGGCTCGGTCAGGACTGGCACTGTCCGGGGTGCTGAGCACAGCAAGAACCAAATAGGGTCCTTGCCCCACAAGAACAATAGCCAGGCAGAGTGGCCTAAGAGTTTATACTGCATTCTAGACTCTTAGAAGTATATGAGGGGCTCAGGGAGGTTGCACCCATTTTTGAAAGATGAGCAATACGGCATGTCAGAACTAGAGCAGTATCCAAAAGTAGAACAAGAGAATACAAAGGCTGGAAATGGATCTGGGAAGTGAAGTATGGGTGGAGCAGCTCAGCCCTGCCTTCTCACGGCTGTCTCACCCCCCACCTCCAGGGAGCCTTCCTTCTCACTACCTCAGCAGACAACCTAGGGGTGCAGGGATGGCTTTCCTTTACAGCAGGTTAGAGTTTTCCTCCTGATCTAGTCCTGCTGAATGTATATAGCCAGGGGAAGATGTGAACATAGCATTAATTACAGAAGTCATAACAATTCAAGATGGGATGGAGTGGCATCTCAGTAGTTAAGAGTGCCTGCTGTGTAATCATGAGGACTGGAGTTCAGATCCAAGCGCCATGTGACATGCCAGGCATCTGGCACATGCCAGTTACCCCAATTCCAAGAGGAGTGGAGACAGGAGTACCACTAGTGCTTGCTGGCTTCCAGCCCCGCTGTGAAAATGTGAGCTCCAGGTTCAGAGAGAGACCCTGTTTCAAAGGACTAGGCAGAGAGAGACAGAGAAAACCAGCAGGATTTTCTGAACTCATAGATACATATGCCTGTGTAAGCACACATGGGTATACACTCAGACACCTACACACAGAAAAACAGATGATGACAGACAAATAAAAATTACAGATGCTACATAAATAGATAGACAGAGGCAAATCCTATGCGTAGTCTCTTATTAGCATTATGCCCAGGTGTTTCTAATTGTAGTGTTAAATTATATTTGTGTAATGAAATTACACAATAAATTACATTTATGTGATGAAAACAATTATGCTTAACAAAATAAAGTTTATTAAGAATGTAATAGTGCCGGGCAGTCTGTATTCCAGATAGGAAAAGAGAAAGAGCAGGGCAGACAATCAGATCTCAACAGCGTATGAAAAGCCCACACAGATAAAAGAATGAGAAGAAACACACCAAAAAGTGTCAGTGGTACTTCAAAGAAGGTTGTTTGTGTTTTTGCAGTGTGTGTGTGTGTGTGTGGTGAGATTGAACCCAGAGCTTTGTGATTTGTGTTCCAACACTGAACTACACATTCAGTCCCTTGCAAGCACATTTCTTGACACATTTCTCTATTTCCAGAGTTTCTGTAATGAGCTTCTAGTAATTTTATAATTTAAAATAAAATTTAAAATTCAGGCTGGTGAGGTGACTCAGTGGGTAAAGGCTGATGACCTGAGTTCGAGTGCACTCTCTCTCTCTCTCTCTCTCTCTCTCACTCATAAGGAAGGGATCGTGTAAACACCTGTAACAGTGGATTGTGGATTGTGGAGAACAGAAACCCTGATGCTACTGGAGGCCCAGATTGTTTTCAAGAAAAAGAGTTCTGGGGTGGTAGGATTGCTCAGTGGGTAAAGTCATTTGCTGCCAAGCCTGATGACCTGAGTTCAATTCCTGGGACCTACATTGTGGGAGAGAATTGACTCCTACAACTTGTCCTGTGACCCAAAACAGATGTGTGCCCACACACATCCATACACACACTTGTATGCACACATGAGAGAGCAAGAGAGAGTGAACGAGTGATACAGACACACACAGGCAGAGACAGAGAGACCGAAACAGTGAGAGACGGCTCTCCCGTACTCTGGTATTTTATTCCTGGAACACTGACAGGCTAAAAGTTGTGGCGGAGTTCCACTCCTGAGCCAGAGTCCCCTGGGAGCTTGTCCACCCACATTCCCAGTTCTTCTGAATGAGGGTGGCATCAAGTGGCAGTCTCACAAGGTGACTGTTACTGAAGCTGGACACCACACTGAATCTTTCACCAAGATAGCATCCCTGGGAAGCTTTACAAAATATTCTCATGTCCAAGCCCTGCACCACCAGAGCAGTGGGACCCAAGCTGCCTCATGGAAGCTCTGAGCAGCCCTAGAGGCTTCCTAGGTGACTCTCAGATGCCAGGAAGGTTAAAGAGCCACCAGCCTTACAAGGAGGTTCTCAGATGGGGCTTCATCCAGTGGTTGTTAATACTTCTGGGGAGGGTTGCTTGCTTAAAAAAAGAAAGAAAGAAAGAAAAAGAAAAAAAGAAGAAGGAGAAGAAGAAAATAAAGGTAGGGTAGCATATAGCATATCAGGCTGGCCTCAAACTCACCATGTATCTAAGGATGGCTTTGAACTTCTGATCTTCGTGCCTCTATCTCCAGAGTGCTGGAATAATGTGGTGCTGAGAATCCAGCTCAGGACCTCATGCATAGGTGAGCATTTTACCATTTGAGGCATAGCTCCAGTCTTTGCTATTCTGTTTGTTGAGGCAGAGCCTCACTCTGTAGCCCAGGCTGGCCTCAAACTTGTGGCTATCCTCTTACCTCAGCCTCCTCCCTAGGCTAGGATTACAAGGTGACTCCACTGCTGTTAGGATCGGGGACAGATTTTAGAAGTTTACTACTAGAATACAGCTGGCTGACACACCAGATTCAGGTCCCAGGGCAGGCTGCTCCCATGACTGCTCTCCCAGAGTGTGCAGAAAGAAAGGTATACACAGCCACCTTGGGGTCCCCAGGGAAAAGAAAGATGGGTAGGGGAAACTTATAGGTAACACAATGCCCTATGCAGATTTCACAGCATGTGAAGGCAAGGTGAGGGAGGGCACAGTCTCCAGAAATTACCTCCCAGTAGATGGTGTCCTCAAAGCAGTTTTCATCAGCAGCTTGTCCCCAGAATGGCAATTTCAAAATGAGCCCTAAGTAGATTGGGGGACACAGTAGTCAGAAAACATTCTTTGCTTACCCCAACTTTTTCCCTGATGGAACCCCACATTCCCAGTTCCACAGCTGACAATACAGATATCAGATATTCTGGGAAGACCAAGTCCACCCCTAAGATATGCTCTTGGGTCCCCCACTTAGTGAGTCCCCTACCAGGGCCCCATGTTTTCTAGTTCAGGCATTCTTACTCACCCACAATGATGCCGCCCACCAGGGCCATGGCCAAGGTCAGGAGGAGGCCAAATATCTGGGAACTGCCCTGCATTTTCTTGGTCCAGTCTGCCTTATAGCCTCCAAAGCCAAGTGAATGGACTAGCCTGGGGAAGAGATAAGAAGCAAGTGGGCCCCATGGAGAGGCCAGGGAACTGGGTATTGCTTTCCCATGGACGAGCTCTTGAAACCCTAGGCCTCCACTTTCCCAGCAGACTGTACCTCTCTTGAACCCTTGAGATAGGTCTGAGGGTGGGGAGGGAGGCCAGTGAACAGTCTAGAGTGGACGAAGGGAGGGAGACACTCTTGGCCCCACAAACGAAGGAACAGAGAGTGAAGGAGGAGAACCCGCTTCCACACCTCCTCCATATTTACCCTGGCTCTCCGTACACATCAGGGGAGGAGTAGGCTGCTGCCACAGCACCCACAATGCCACCTATGATGCCAGGGATACCGTGCAGGTTGTGAATGCCACATGTGTCCTGGATGCGCAGGTGGGACTCCAGGAATGGCTAGGGGAGGAGAGAAGGCGGCAGTGCTCAGGCTGTGGCTGTGGTGGGGGCGTGGGGAGGCCTTCAGACACACAGCCCCAGGGGTCCCTAAGCCTCACCCCCTCTGTCTCTCCCTACCTTCCGGAACATAAACACCCTCAGCAGCCCCAGCCCCAGCCTTAGGGTGCTCACCGATAGGTATGTGAATCCTAGGGTGGAGAAAATACCACAGAAGAAGCCCACGATGAGGGCACCATAAGGTGTGAGCATCATCTCCGCAGCTGTGCCCACGCCCACCCCTCCGGCAAGCGTGGCGTTCTGGATGTGCACCTGGGCAAGGTAGGTAAAGTGTGCAAGCTCTCAGTGCTGTTCCTAGAGCATGGCCTGTGCTCACACATTGCGCAAAGTTGGGAACTGGGAACAAGCCAGGGGTATGCAGAGGGCGCTGGACTTGGCCCCCAGCTGAGTACACCTGCTTTGTGTGCTCTGCAAGCAAGTCACCTTCCCCACCCACCCCCCAGCAGGCCTGGACATCTTCTGTGTCCATGACGCAATTGTCACTGGGCATACCTGTGGACCCCAAAACCCATCTGCACATCTCCTTTTTCTCCATGTCTACCTTGGGCCAGTGGGCATAGCTGAGTGCACACTGAGTCTATGCCAGGCATTTGTGGGCCCCATGCATGCCCAGCTGTTACCAATGTCAGACATGCCAGATCCTAAATATGTATGCTGGGACAACTTTAAAAAGCCCAAGAGGCCAGTGGTGTTAGAATAAAGACCTGCCAGAGGGGACCCCCCCACACACAACACACACACATCGGCAAGTCTGCTAGGCAGGCCTGGTGTGACACTCAACCAGCACTGACTAATAGCATTTCAGGCTGTAGGGAGGACAAGAACATTTGGCAGGGATGGCCCACTGTGAGCATCCAGGTTTGGGTTTGCCAATCTAGAAGCTGCCTGTCATGATGAGATGCAGGCAGGGCATGGCAGTCAGAAGGGTACCTCCCCAAGAAGCCCCCTGCTCACCATGTCCAGTTTGCCCTTCTTGTGTATGATGCTAGACACTGCCACTGTAGTTAGCACACTAGCCGCCAAGGAGAGGTAGGTATTGAGGGCTGCTCGGTGTTGGGTGTCTCCATGAAAGGAACTGGCTGAATTGAAGCTGGGCCAGTATATCCACAGGAAGAGGGTGCCTGGGTCAGAACATATGCAGGCCGGGGCCGGGGAGGGGGTGTTATGCCAGGCTCACAGAGCCCAAGCAGAGGCATCGCCTCTCAGCTCCAGCGATGTCCAGCTGCCTCTGACCCATGAACATCGCTCTCACTAGTGGTCCTTCTGGAAGGCCCTCCTGGCCCAGCTCGCCTCGGCCCCACTTGGCCTCCCATACCACTTCAGAAAGCCTTCTCTGTCTCCCCAACCCTAGGACTGGTTACATGCCCCTACCCTTACAGCATCATGTAGGAGAGTCTCTCCCTTCTGTAGACACATTAGCTGCTGGCACTATCATCTCAGTCTACTGGGAGACGGAAGGAAGGGCTGGGTCTGATAGACATTGTATGTCATGGGGACCAAGTGGCCAGTTCCTGTTTCTACTCTGTCTGCCTTGGGGTAGTCTAGGGAACACACAGGATGAGTGACCAACTTCTTCAACTACTTGAGGGAGAGAATTGGACACTCGGGACTCTAGAAGTATCTACAGGCTACATCATTCTGCCCTTTTTCCTGAAGAAGCAGCAGTCACCCACTGATTATGTGGAGATCAGGGGTGATCGTGACCATCATCACCCATCACATTCATATTGTCCTCATCCTTTTTAACTGGTCCTCACCCAGCATTGTTGTTCTTACCCATCCATAGCAGTTCTGATCCATCATGGTGGCCCTCAACAGTTTGGCAAGTGCTCCCCCCACCACAGTGACCCTCACCAACATAGAAGATCTCACCCACCATGGCTGCCCTCACCAACATGACAGCTGTTAGTTCTCACCAATCATGGCAGAAAGGTCCGAATGGTACACTGAACTCTGTCTCTGCTTGCTCTGCTCCAGGTTTTTTCGGTAGAGGATCCAGGTCACTGTGAGCCCAAAGTAGGCGCCAAATGTGTGGATGGTCATAGAGCCCCCTGCATCCTTTGCCTGGAGTGCAAGGGGCCTGTCAGGGCCTGGTACCCTTTATCCCTCCTTCCTCATAATACTCCCCACCCCACACATATGCACACATGTTTGGCTGTCTCTGACGCCAGCTATGGAACACAGAGCCTAGTTCCCTGTCCTATTGTCCTGTGTGTGTGTGTGTGTGTGTGTGTGTGTGTTTGGTTGATTTTTGTTGGTTTTGTCAATTTGACACAAACTCGAGTCACCTGGAAAAAGAGACCTTCAATTGAGAAAATGCCTCCATCCAATTAGTATATAAGCAAGTCTTATATATAAGGTATATAAGGGCATTTTCTTGATTTGGGAGGGCCAACCTTGGGTAGGTGGTTCTGACTTGTATAAGAAAGCAAGTGAGCAAGTCACGAGAAGCAAGCCAGAAAGCAGCACCCTTCCATGGCCTCTGCTTCAGTTCCTGCCTCCAGCTTCCTACCAGGACTTCCTTAGGTAATGCACTATCACATGGAAATGTAAGCAAAATAAACCTTTCCCTCCCCAAGTTGCTTTTTGTCATGGAGTTTCATCACAGCAATAAAAACCCTAAGACAGTTCCCAAAGCAACTAGTTGAGCAGAGGAAGGTAGGGATGTTGACTGTCCAGTCAACAAAATGCCAGGGTCCTTTCCTCTTGTCCTCTCCTCTGATTGGTTAGCTCTCCTGGTGGGCTTTGACTGCTTATGGTGGGAAGCCTCTGGGCTATTAGGCTGGTTGTAGCACCCTCTGATGGGCTGCCTAGCCCTGCCTGGAGGCCAGTCCTTAACACAGGAAGGACATGCTTGGTCAGTGCCTCTATGTTTGGATCCCTCTCTGAATTGTAAGTTCCCGGGTCCTATCTCAGTGCAGTCTCCTCCCCTGTGCCTACAGCCTTCGGCATAGCTCAACAGAGCTTCAGACTCTGAAATCTGACTATGTGTGATACACTGACCAGGTGTGAGGGCAGAGAGCATCCAGACAACCTTCCCTTATCAAACAGCGCCCCCCCACCAAGTGCCTTGAAGAAACAGATAAAAACAATATAAGAGCCACACAGGACAATTTGAGAGCTAGGGCCAGAGAAGGAGAACATGAAGGAAGGCAGTGCCTCACTGTAGCAACATTCAAATTGAAACATGCATGGATCATGAAAAGAATAAGGATGACTGCTCCAGGACCAGATGACAGCAAGGGTAAAGTTCTGGACAGAGTCATGCTCCATGTAGTTGGGGGCATAAAGGAGGTCACAGTCAAAGCAGTCCATGGAGGCAGAGCCAAGCCTAAGCTTTGAGGGAAGGGGAGGCACAGTCAGAACTTGCAGAGCCTTAGGTCAAGTTCAATTTCATACTAAGTGAAATGAAAGCTGTTGGTTTTTAGTCAGGGGAGTGGTTTTCTATGTATGGCAAAAAGCCTACTCTGTCTTCTGACGGAGACCAGCCTGGCTTAGAGCAGAACAGAGTCAAGCTTGAACATGAGTCAAAAGAGAGAGAGAGAGAGAGAGAGAGAGAGAGAGAGAGAGAGAGAGAGAGAGCGCGAGAGAGTGAGTGATTGATTGGAGCTTAGAGTGGTCAAAATTCCTCCCCCAGCATAGGGGGTGTTCCTGGCTGGGTTCAAATCTAGAAGAGGAAGCCCAGAAGTGCATAAGGTAGTCAAACGATATCCTCCTCCACATTGAGGTACCGGGGAAGTTCCCAAGAGTCAGAGGTCTAAGGCGCTGTTAGCCAGTTCATGGAATCAGTCAAGCCCAAAATGCAGCATCCTTGCCACAACCCATGGGAATGGCATTTCTAGGGTTATGGCATTCACAACTTCTCTGGCATCCCTCCTACACACACTAGCTTTTCTTGGGAGAAAAAGCTAGAGATGTATGTATGCCCAAGTATGTGCAGGATGTTCCACTCCTTCCATCCAATGGAAGAGAAAGGAAATTAAAGACAAAACCACAACAAAAACCAAATCCAGTGATGGCCTATTCTGCCCAAACACTGGGCAGAGGGCAGATATGTTAGGTAGACAATGATTTTGCTAGGGGAGGCATCATGATTGCTGATTTGTAGATGAAGAAACTGTGATGCAGGAAGCTGAATGGCTTGCCAGGTTACACATATCCACAGACCTCTCTGTCTTTATCCCTCTTTGTCTCCTCCAGGGTCTCCCTTCCCCCTCTGAGCTTTGCTCACCTCTATCAGATTCAGGAGGATGAACTCATTCACTGCGAAGAGGGTCACTTGGAAGAAGGTCATGATAAGCAGTTGGACTGGGCTGGTCTTGCCTAGAACTGCCCCAAAGGCCACACAGGTAGATGCCACACAGAAGTCAGCTTCTATGATGCTGTAGAAAGACAGACCAATGAGGAACTGCAGCTACAACCCAGAAGTCACACCCCAAGCCTTTGATCCTTGGTGGACTGAGGCTGCTGGTTAAGTCTTTTTGAGCCTTGGTTTCACTATCTGTGATAAGGGTTCATCATACTTAGGGCCATGCATGCATAGTATGTCTGGCGAAAAATCTACTCTGGCTACAGAGTCAGAGATAAGAGAGACAGTGACTGAGGACTAAAGAAGAATGTCACAGTACCCCAGGTGTAGGGGGTTTTCCAGGCTGGGTTCAAATGTAGGCAGGGAGGCTTGGAATTGCATAAAGTAATCAGATAATATCCTCCTCCACACTGAGGCACCAGGGAGGTTCCCGAGTAGCAGTGGGAGCCATACCTTCCCTTGACAGCATCATGCTGTGGGCAGCTTATGCTCAGGGAACCAAGTGGTCTAGCCATTCTTGTTGAACAAGCCCTGTATTTAGGGTACAACCCTTCCCCCTGTCTTCTGCTGCCTGTCCAGGTCCTCCTCTTATTGTCTCTGTTTGCCAAAAGCCTTCCTCAGTCCCTCCAATGTGGCCTCTGCTCCAGACAGAGCGCTCACTCTAGACTTACCAGGCTCTACCACTACCATAGCCTTCTGGGGTTTGGCTACTGGGTCCTTCTTCTCACTTTACCCACAAGGAAAGGTCAGTCTCCACAGAAAAGGGGCTGTATTATCTCAGAGCACCAGCAATTTCAGCGGGATTGGGCCCTTCTTCCTTCTTCAAGAGAACACTACCCTCTATCATAGGGGAGGGAGACCCTCCCACGTACCCAAATAACATTACAACCTCTATCTGGAGAGGAGCTATGAGAAAACTGTGTGTGTGTATGTGTGTGTGTGGACAACTGCAGGTGTCCACCACCGATCCAAGGTGTCCTGAAGGAAGAGCTACCTCATCCCAAACCCTCAGAGCCCACCCTCACAATCACTCACCCTCTTCCTGTTCATCCTCCCACCCCTCACCCCCCCACACCCCGACTCCGGGCCCCATTGCCTCTCCCTCATTGCCTCTCACTGCGTGGAACCACCGTCCTGCTAGGCCTTGCCTACTGAGCCTTTTCAAGTTTTCCTCGCCAGTCCACCCATAGGGTCCTCCCTAACACCACAGTACCCACCCCAATCCAGACTCTGCCCCCCTTCCTGAGCCACGCCCACTCCACTCTCCTCCTCAGGACCCACCCACCCCCATCCAAAACCAGCTGGTGGGCACCTGAGCCCCCTCCCCACCCAGGGTGTGCCCCACCACTGCCCAACCTCCCTCCCCGTCCGACCGGCCCAGTCCATCCCGCCTGAACTCTCCCAGGCTCACTTCTCCACGCTCAGCATAATGTGGCCTTCCTCAAAGAAGCGAAACCAGCCTTGCATGAGCAGCGCCCACTGGATGCCGAAAGCTGCCAGCAGGAAGTTGAACCCTACCGCGCTGAACCCATAGCGCTGCAGGAAGGTCATGAGGAAGCCGAAGCCCACGAAGACCATGGCATGCACGTCCTGGAAGCCTGCCGGGAGAGCACAGTTGAAGGTCTCTGCTGCATAGGGAAGACCCACCATGGCTTTGAGTCTGACAGGCCAGCACAGCCTAGAATAGCTCCTGTGGTTTCAGCCACTGTGAGACTCCCTGTTCCCTTCATCTCCTCTCCCTTCTTCCTTGCAATCAGACTAGAGCCAGGTGACAGAAACAAAAGGCCTCTTGATTGGTAAAAATAGCCACTGCCTTCATCTTAGGCTCTCTGGAGGAAGCCAGAGGACTAGAGGTGGGTTTCCAGATCAGACCACTGGGTTATAGGGTCAAGAAGATGACTGAGAGTACCCTCGGGAGATGACAGTTTTCTTGTTCCCCCCTCCATCCAGATGGCACTGCTGATCCCCAGGGATGGGCAGCTGAGCGTTTGATTCCTTTATCTCTCCCCGCCCCCATTGCTGTTGTGGAACTCACTCATATGCATTCTCAAGGACCGTCTTCCACAGGCCCTGGGCATTTGAAGTTGAGGCCAAGCTATGAGTTATACTCAGGGACCAGAGTGAGTGTAGAGCACAGATCATCTTGGCAGGCCAAGCAAGGCTGCACAGGGCTACTCGTGTCCACGCCCCAACATCAACTCCACAAATGCACTTCCTCCAGCCATGCAGTGGGAGAAGTTATCCCACCCCCATACCAAAAGCACTTCCTCCAACCGTGCAAAAGTTAAATACAGATGTGTAGGTAAAGTTCTTGGCACGGTGTGTACCTATAATAGGTGACCCAACTGGGCAGCTGTCTTTATTAACTATTTCTCAAGCATTGCTTCTATTTCCAAGTCTGACCAGACTTCTAACTCACAGTGATCCCAGGAATTCATCTTCCCACTTTGTGCTTCAGGTTTCTAATAAAGCTAAGGATGAGCTAGAATGATTTGGGAAGGGCTAGAATGATCTAAACTGTTCTCCCAGCACTAATCTGCTTGCTTGTAGAGCCCAAAGAAACAAGAGACGGCAAAGAGCTTCAGCAGGTGAAAACTTGAAGGTAGTGGTGCACACCTTTAAGCCCAGTACTCAAGAGGTAGAGGCAGGTGGATCTCTGTGGGTTTGAGGCCAGCTTGGTCAAGTTCTAGGACAGCCAGAGCTACACACAGAGAAACCCTGTCCTGGGGGTGGGGTGGGGCAGGGAGCCCGGACAAGTGAAAACATAATAGAAATAAGACACAAAGGAACCGTGGATGCCATGAGACACAAAGAGCCAGACAGAAGGGCTCCCATTGGCCTCATCTGGGGCAATTTAAGCACCAAAATAATGGTTTCTCATAATAAGTTACAGTCATTTACATACAGGAATTCATGAGTCCATGCCAATAATAAATAGGTAAAAATGGACAGGGTAGCAGAGAGGATTCTTGCCTGCAATAGAATGCTGAGGACTCTGCTCAAAATTTAGGTAGAGAATTAGGGATGGAAAAAATCATCGCTTTCATAGCAACAGCTCAATAAATGATGCTAAATGCAGAGGGAAATTCCAAGAAGAGCAGGGCGTTTACACTGTCTTAAAGATTCTGCCAACAAATGACTCATTGGCCTCACGGGAGGAATAGACAATAGTGATTGCACAGAGGGAAAATTAGGTTACATATTAACTGGGGGAATAAAAATTAACATGTCCAATGGTGGCAGAAGGGACATTGTGTGCCTCCAGATGGGACATCCTATAAAGGATGTATCCCCTGGTGCCCCCCATAGGGTGCTCTCCCTGAGACAGCGGGGACAAATTTAATAATGAAAAAACAATTGGACACAGAGCGAGGAGTCTATTGTTAAAAGGGGTTGAGGCTGAGGCAGGGCATAATGGCACACGCCTGTTAGCCCAATGCTGGAGAGGCCAGCTTGTGCTTCTTAGTAAGACCTTGTCTCAAAAACAAAACAAAACAAAACAAAACAAAGCAATAGTGGGTTAAGCTGTACTCTTGAAGATTATCCAAGTCATAGAAAACAAAGAAAATGTTTTTCTAATGTTCCAGATTAAAAGACATGCCAGCTATACTTAATAAATACATTTGCACTGCATTTGGCAGAGAGAGTATGGGGAAGGCTAAAAAAGGTTGTCAGGTCAGCTGAAGGAATTAGGTATTGATGGTGGATTAAGGTGCCTCACCCATGTGGATGTATGAAGTTGAATTCTGGAAGCAAATACTCCTGTTCTTAGGAAATATGCTAAGGTGTGCCAGGGAGGAAGTCTATGAGGAATGTAACCAACCGTCCAAGTGATTCGTGTGTGAGTGTGTGTGTGTGTGTGTGTGTGTGTGTGTGAGCATGAGAGTGCATGTGTGAGCATAATTGTGTGTGAATGTATGCCATGTGAGAGTGTGGGTGTGAATGTATGCTGTGTGTATGTGTGATTGTGAGCATGAGTGTGTGTGTGAATATATGCTGTGTGTGTAAGTATGTGTATGTGTGAGTGTGAATGTATGTGTGTGGGTATGAATGTATGCCAAGTGAGTGTGCATGTGTGTGTGAATGTAGTGTGTGTGTGTGTGTGTGTGTGTGTGTGTGTGTGTGTGGCTGGAGAGAAAAAGAGCAATGCCTGTGTCTGAAGTTAAAATGTATGCAGCAAACTATGTCTCTCTGTGTTCTCTCTATTTTAGCAGCTTCTGTAAATTTAAATTTATTTCCAAAGAAAAAGTTGGAAAAGAGAAGAAAAGGCAGTTCCAGGGGCCCACCAGGCCACCTGTCTTCCTTACACTGTCCCCATTTCTACCCTCCCTTCTGTCTACCAGCTGTGTTGACCTCTGGTTCCCGGGCCTACTTCAGGGAACACCAAAGGGAACACCTCCCTTTGCTGGAGGGCCATTGTGTGTTCCTACACGTCTCAGAATAATGCGCCCTCACTGAAGAGCCTTCTGACCACATACTTTCTTTTCTTTCTTCTTCTTCTTCTTCTTTTTTTTTTTTTTTTTAACAAGATCTCAATATGTGGCTGTTCTGGCTGTCCTGGAACTCACTCTGTAGACCAAGCTGGCCTCCATCTCACAGAGATTCACCTGCTTCTGCCTCCTGAGTGCTGGGATTAAAGGTGTATGCCATTGCACACAGCTGTGACCACCTACTTTAAGTCAGGCTGTCCGTTCATGGGACCCTCACTTCCTTCCCAGCCCCACGAGAAAGTGAAGTTGTATGTTTAGTTGTTTGTCTAATCAACTAGACCATAAAGCTCCAGGAAGATGGGCTGTGCCTGTGCTGGCCACCAGGGTGTTCTCAACACCTAGGAGAGCGCCAAAGGGAACTCTCCATGATATTCTCAAGAGTGCAACATACTGCTACTCTTCCAGAGGACCAGGATTCAATTCCCAGAACCCAAATAATGGCTCATAATCATCTGTGACTCCAGTTCCAAGGGATCTAACACCCCTTGGCTGCTGCAGGCATTATGCATGCAAGTGGTGAGACATATATGAATCTTACACACACACACACACACACACACACAGATACTGTGTTTGTATTTTAACAAGACTACAGCCTCACCACCTTTGTTTTGTAGCCAGCTGGGCACAAGGATCAAAAGGGGTGTTTTTACAGTATGGCAGACCTGTGGCCCCTCTCCTTCTAATTCATAATGCTGATGAGCCCTGGAGCCCCTGTGGTCTGCAAGGTAGTGATGAACAATGTCTTTGTCACAGCTCCCTTGACCTTGACTTCTCCTGTCTGCCCCCGTCTGTCTCCCACCCCACCCTGCCCCATGCTTCCTTGAGGTCCAAGCCCAGGCACACAGGTCTCTTGACCAGCAGGCCTCCCTGCTCATCGAAGGATAGAAGCACAAATGGATACAGGGAAACTGACATTCTGCACCCCACACACCTCAGGATGGTGCTCTAAGCCCCCTTCATGGCTTCAGCATTATTCAGCTCTGCTGAGGTTGCCAGAGCAAATACATCCTGGCTGGGATTTCTAAATGCATGGACAGATTTCCTGTATTATCATGCCCCATGCCTTATTAAGTTACCAGCTGCTGTGGAGAGCATGGAGTGAATGCTATGTGAAGCACCATAAAAGATCCTGGGGTTGTTCTGGGAAGAGCTGATGAGTGACAGACTAGAAGAGCTCTGCAGAGGACAGAGAGGCTGCATGTTTGGATGATGGTCCCCCAGGCAGGGAGCAGAGCTCAGTGGCAGGGCTGTTGACAAGCTTGCAGCAACGGGAGGGATGGGGCAGTTGTTGAAGGTTAGACGCTAGGTGTCATCCTAGCTGTGATGAGCCTAAGACAACCAGCCATGGAAGAGGCAGGACCTGAAGCCTGAAAGAACCAGCTGTCACCTACTAGCATGCAGGCCCTCACACCGCGGGATGTGGGAACGGAGAGGGAGATAGATCAAGCCCGCACACTGGTATGCCTTAGGGCTAGAGGACAGGAAGGGAATGTTGGGGGAAGCCCCCAGGAGAAAATGTCCTGCCAGGAAACAGGGTCTTTAAAGAAGGGGGGGTGTCCCGGTCCCAGTGGCACAGAGGAACCATGCTGGCAAAGAAGAGCAGAAGGGCACCAGGGACACCACCTGCACACCCTGAGGCTACCCTGGGTCTCCCTGGGTCCCAAGAGCAGGCACGAGGAATCCTGGGTTTTCTGTCCTTCCACCCCACCCGTATCCTCTCATCCTGTCCCTGGGGCACCCTGTCTTCCCTGTCCCTCCCTGTCCCTCCCTGGAGATGTAGCTTTCCCTCGGGCACATCCCTTCCTCTTTGTCTTCTAATTGGCCCTGAGTTACTTCTGAAACCTTCCATTCACCACATTCTGTTGCCTCAGGTTCGGTGCTAACTTTAGAGATCCGAGCAGTAACCATGTGAAAATCTGGTCTGTGCGCCACCGTCAAGGCATGTCCTCTCTGGTGCTTCAGACAGCTATCCCAAGAGGTTCTGTGGGGCCTTTTAATGAGGGAACTCCATCAAAGGTCTGGCACAGGCCATTGATCAGCCATATTAGCTGGTGTTTCTCCTCTTCTCCATGCAGGCAGCTTGCTGCTGGCCAGTGCAAGTCAGCCCCCACTCTTCTCCCTGTTTCTCTCAAATCCAAGGTCTAATTTGGCAGAACAGCACACTAGTGGCCAACCATGTTAACTTCCACCAGAGGGCGCCACTACATAGCTGTTTCCACTCTCCCTCTGCAGGCCACCTAGTCTCCTCTGAAACTCTTCAGATTTCTCCAGTCAAGGTATTCAACCAAAGCTTCTCATAGCTTCCCACCCCAGCGAATGGCTGAAGGCCCTATCCCACCCTTACTGTATCATCCCACTAAGGATGGTGCCTGGAGGTACTGAACCTCTCCATCCATTTCCTAGCGGCCAACCCAGCCTCACTTGTTTTGTGGGACCACGATGATGATGACAATGACGATGATGACAATGACGGTGGTGATTGTGCATGAGTGCCAAGGTCAGAGGACAACTTTTGGAAGAAGGTTCTCCCTTTTCATCATGGGTTACAGAGATCAAACTTGAGTTCTCAGGCCTGGCAAGTGCCTTTCCCTACCTACCCCTCTACCCCTCGCTTGTTTTTGGCTTTGCTTTGTTTTGTTCTTTAGACATCTGTTGGCAATTGGCCAGTTCTCCTGGGACACCAGCACTACACAGTTCCTGATGGGGGCAGCAAGGCCACAGACAACTCCAGAAAGCAGTAGAAGGGCTTGGCTTCATCCCTACGTCACTGTCCAGCTCAGCATCAGTCTTCCTGAAGAGAATAAATGTCCTGCCCGACAACAGACAAGCCACACACGGCCACGGAGAAGAGTACAAAGGAATGCAAAGTCTATGACAGTTCTAACTAGTTCCAGGGGCATATTTCTTAGCCACATAGCTAGCCAGATGCTGGGCCTCTGTTTACACATCACAGAGTGTTCACTCCCTTCTGGGGCACTCATGACGGTGTTTACTAGGAAACTATACCCCCAAAAGCCTAGACTCCTCTTAGACACTGAACTTTACAGCACCACCCTACAGTCTGAGGCTCAAGGTTAGGTCACCAAGGGAGGGATCTGACCCAGGCTATAATGCCACCTATTCTGGTTAAATGGGTTCTGATGGGATGAAACGGAGTCTGTGGTACAGTTCCTAGAGGACCAGACAAGCCTGGATGCTCTGGCCTCAGGAGACAGGCCCTTAGCGGTGGGAAACCTGGGCATCCTCTACTTCAGGCCCTTTCCTTCATGTTTTGGCCTCCTTTGGTGTCTCCAGAAAGCTTCTGGGGTCAGGACCTGGTGGCCCTCCTTGGCCCATGGTCACTGAGGCTGCTACACCAGCTAGGAGGCGGCTTTGCATTCAGCAGCTGATGTAGCACTTCAGATCCCAGAGAGCATCAGGGCACATTCCCAGCTAGTTCTGTATCTGTTGTCTGGCAGGGGCTGGGGATGCTGATGCTGATTTCAGTCTTGGTGCTGACCTGCTCCAGAAACCAGAGATGCCCAGCAGGCTCCAGTGACCCCTTGAATAGGAATAAGGCCCCCACAGCACACCCTGAATGGGTGCTGGTGGTTGCAAGCCAAGAACTAGTAGGACCACAGGGGCCTGCCTGACCCACACCTTGGGAATTACCCAGTGGTGCAGAAACCAGGGCCTGGAAACCCACCTGGCTCGAAAGCCTCATGCTCCTTAGCACCTAACCATTGTCACCATGATCTGGGAAGTTCAAAGAGTGGTGCTGGGGAGAGGTGAAGGACGAGACCTGGGGTGGGAGAGCTACCAGGAGGATGGGCTCAGAGCTACACCACAGTAGCCACCTGGGCCCCTGGGTTCTTACTGGGTAACCTGTGTCTGCTCTATGGGTTTAGTTTTCTCATCTGTGAAATGGGGGGGGGGGGCGGTTAGCAATATCTCCCCTTGAGGGATGATAGCGGTGGTCAAGGAGAGATCCCATGCTTGGCGGGGGCTGTTTCTGCCACCACGGTACTTCCTGTGCTTGCCAAGGAACACTGAGTTACCTCCCAGTTCCTGTTTCTGGGCAAGCACTCCCCCATATCTCTTGGAGTTAGAGACAAGGGCAACTAGGGGGCATCCTTGGTGTTTAGGGCTCCCTCCTCCCTCAGCATTCTCCCCTTCTCTCTCTGGGAGTCCTTCCCTTAGGCCATTCTGAGCCTCTCTCCCCTCTTCCCAGGCTTCCCTTTCTGCCCTGCTCCCTCCTCAGCACCAGTACTTCCCATTGTCAGAGATGGACTGCCTGCTCAGATGCTCAGAGCACCACTGGCCTTCGGTGGTATGGGATGCAGCGCTCTGTTCCCAATAAACCTAGGAGTCCTTGAGGACCAGAGGGTACACAACTTGTTTGTCCAGAGTGACCATAAATCCTGATTTACCGGAACAGCCAGGGTTCATGTCTTGCTCCCAACACACTGCTGCCAGCACCCCTGGATGACCCTCTAGATAAATGCTGACAAGTGATGGAAAAGGAGACAGGTGGCTGGGTGATGAGGGACAGTACAGGAGTTGGGGAGTCTGAGGACTGTATCCCTTCTTGGGGGTATGAGGTTCTGTGGCTTCCCTTGTGGGGTCTTGATGGCCTGTACTGTCAGGACAAGATAAAAAACTACAAATGCCCAAGAAAGGGAAGCCCTGGCCTTACACTTCTATGAGGCTGTGATGTGAGCAAGGCAGCTGGAGATGAAATGGAGTAAGCCAAGGATGAATACTAAGCTCACCTGCTTCCCCATTTGCCTGCCAAATCCCCACACAGACGAGGAAGGTTTGGGACACGAAGACTGGATTTGCACTGTGGATTCTGAAGCTATGGCTTCAGCTACATATAACAGAAGCTACAGCTGTCAAGATCTCTTTTGCATCACACAGCTCTGAAGGGGGCCCTGGGTTTCCAGACATAGAGAGTACCCTGCTGCTGAGTATGCAGCAGCATACTCAGAGGACCGCATAGGCAGCTGTTGGAGAAAAGCTTCAGGGTCCCTTGGAAAACCAATGGCCCATGACCACATGAGCTCCAACTGTTAGAAGAATTGTCATTGGCTGTCGGTAGACAGAGTGGAAACTGAGAAAGCATAAGGGCATTAGCAGAGTCCTAGGCTGGCAGTCCAAGGTTAGGCTGCTTGGGATGACCTTGGGCTAGTTCTCTATGCTCTCTGAGATGCCTGAAGTCCTCAGGTGCCTGTGTTTAGTGCTCTTGTGGTGTGAGGCACTCCCAGTACTCCACCCGGCCTCACATCCCTCCTGTGTGGTGGCTCCCACCATCACCCCTAGGCAGCAGAGAAGGAAGGTAGGGCTCTTTATGACTGACATCTGCCTGACTGCACCCACCCCCAAAGCAGTAGAGCCATTATTAAAAAAAAAAAAAAAAGATATTCCAGGGAATATCTTCTTTGTCATCATCATCCTATTTTTGTGTGTGTGTGTGTGTGTGTATGAGTGCTTTGCCTGCATGTGTGTGTCTGGTGCCCACAGAAGGCAGAAGTCATCAGATTCCCTGGAACTGGAGTTACACATGGTTATGAGCCACCACATAAGTGCTAGGAATCAAAGCCCAGTCCTCCGGAAGAGTATTCAATGTTGCCATCTCCCCAGCTCCTAAAGCTGTGTTCTTAACTATAGCATTACAGAAAATCCCAGGGCACAGGAGGGGTGTCCAGTGGCTTTATTTCCAAACCCAGAGGGTGGGTGTTATGACCTCCTGGCCCAACACTACCTGTGGTCCCACATACCTGTCTCCATAACAAAAGTGGAGAGCCATCATGCCACCCTTGTGATCGCTGACCTACCCCCTATTTGAAGAATATGGGAGCCAGATAACCTGCTGGTTGGATGATAGGATCCTGGCTTTTGAGACCAAGTAGGACTGGGACATAGGAGGCGTCTGATGGCTGGGGGAGATGAAAGTTAAAAAACAAATAAAAAACCAAACCAACTAACTAAACAACAATAACAAAGACCTCTCACATCTCCCAGGTGAGTGCTCCTACCAGACTTTCACAGAAAGTGTGAGCACGTCTGCTAATTTCTCCAGTGACTGGCTGAGGTAGGAGAGTACCCTGGTGCAGAGCCTACTCTGGGACCAGCTGGGGACTGTGGGGCAGTGTCGGCCCCCCATGTCCATCCTGTTTCAGAGCCGGAGGCAGATCTAATACGGAGAGCAGTCAGGTGGCCCGATGGGAACCACCCGGAGACTCTTCAGGTGAGCCTGCCCGCCATAGGACTTACTCGGGTAGCGGTAGTAAAACTCGTTCTCAATGTCGCTAGAGATGTTCTTGACCTTCTTCTCCAACCACCAGCGAGCATCCGCCTGGATGTCGTAGCGCACAAACACGCCGAAGAGAACCACCATCACCACCTGCAGGACCAGGCAGATGACCGGCAGCCGCCACCGGAGGTTGGTGTCCCTGGCCATGTTCTGCACAGCTGGCTGTTCCGCACGCAGGGCTCCCAGGCTGGGGCGACACTTATAGGACCCGGGCACTGGGCGGGGCAGACGCGGAACAGCTGAACCTGGTGCCGCCCACGCGCCCAGGGCGCTACCCAACCGGCAAGAGGCCCGCGGGGCCGCCCCGAGCCCAGCGCCCCTGGAAGCTCCGGGTGTTGGGAGCAAGGGCAGAAACAAGAGAGTAGAACTTCTGCAGGTCTTGTCGATGCCTGGCCTTTTCTCCCTTGTTTGGGTGAATAGAGCGGTAAGATGATCTTCACCGTTCATCCAGATCAGAACGAAGAATTCCTAGACTGGAATTGCTACCCACATCACCACTCTGCCCCCCCCCCCACCTTTTCCGTTTTTAAGACAGGGTTTCTCTGTGTAGCTCTGGCTGTCCTGTAACTCGCTCTGTAAACCAAGCTGCCTTTGGAACTCAAAGACCGGGGATTAAAAGATCACAGCCGAGCCACTCCTGTCCTTTTTGAGATATTCTCCCTCTGTAATCAAATCTGGTTTCAAACACTTAGCAATGCTCCTGCCTCAGCCTCCCAAATGGTGAGATTACCGGCTTGAACCACCACTGCCACTGACCATTCTTTTCTTTTCCAGTTCACAAAAATTTAAAGAGAATGCATGAATGAAATGCAAAGGAAATATGAGAAACTTTCACAAACCACAGAAGTTTTGAGGCAGGTACAGAAAAGCAGAAGGAAGATAGACACCACCAATTTTCTGCCATCCAGAAGCAAGGCTGGAATTTTGGTGTATCTATGTTCAGTCTTTCAAGCTTGTTAGAGAGGACACTGGCTCAAGAAAGACCATTTCACTTTGTAATATTTATATATAGTTTGTGTTTCTCAATAGCTCATAAACATCTCTCTTGCTCTTTATAATATCTTTGATATATATATATATATATAAAATGTATGTTTGTGTGTTCATATATATATATATATATATATATATATATATATATATATATATATGAGACGGGCTTCTTTGTGTAGCCCTGGCTAACTTGGAATTCACTATGTTGGCCTTGAAATTATAGTGGACCTTTTGGCTCTGCCTCCTAAGTGCTAAAATACAGGCATTCTGCTGCCAAACCTGTTTTGTTTTGTTTTGTTTTGTTTCAGTTTTGTTTTGTTTCATTGGTTTTTGTTTTTGTCTTTGTTTTTTGGTTTGGTTGGGTGGTTGATTTTGGTTTTTCAAGACAGAGTTTCTCTGTGTAGCCCTGGCTGTCCTACTAGAACTCACTCTGTAGACTAGGCTGACCTCAAATTCACAGAGATCCACCTGCCTCTGTCTCCTAAGCCCTGGGATTAAAGTCCAGCTTTGGTACTGTTTGTGGTTGTTTATCTTGTTTTGTTTGGTTTGGGTTTTTTGTTTTGTTTTGAGACAGCTCTTTACTCAGTAGGCAAGGCTGGCTTCCTGCCTCGGACTTCCAAGTACTGAATTAAGGATCTGAGCCACTGTACTCACTTTACAACATCTTTTTACTTTATTTATTTTTAATTAAACAATCCTTAGGGCTGCAGAGATGGCCCAGTGGCTAAGAACATGCACAGAATTTACAAAGGACAGAAGTTCTGTTCCCAGTGTGCACACTGATGTCTCACAGCTGCCTGTAACTCCTGATCCAGGAGGACCGATACCTCCAAATCTGCAGGCACCTGCATTCATGCACACACACACACACACACACACACACACACACACACACACACACACACCTCCTCCTATATATAATAAAAAGTAATAAAAATAAATCTTAAAAATGAATACCTTTTTATTACATCTTATTTACTTTTATGCCTTTGTTGTGATGTGTTCTTGTGCAGGCCAGAGAACAACTTGTGAAAGTTGGTTCTTTCCATCATGTAGGTCTGGGGTATCTAACTTAAGTCTTCAGGCTTGACATCAGGTGTCTTTACCAGCTGAGCCATCTGCCAGGCCCAACATCCTTTTTAAAGGCAGGGTAATACCATGCTTGATCAAGCCAATTCCTACTGTTGGATTCTGAGGCTGGAATCATAGACACTAGTGACATGAGCATACAGGTACATAGGTCTTTGCATTCCGAGAAGCAAGATGATTGTCACACCTCACTTGATTTCCCCTAGGGAGTCCCCACCACACAAAGCATACACTTCTCATGCTGGCTAGTCCTTCCACATACTTCCATCTCAGCACTGGATTTACAGCCATATTGTGTTGGGAACTCCAGGAGCTCCATTATGCCAGCATGGGGTGCCAAGGTCCTCAGCTAAGAATTGTTTTGTTTGGAAACAGCAAGACACCCCAGAAACCTTGTCAGCCAAAGGAAGCATTTAGTAAGGATTCTGCTGTGGGCAAACTCCCTGTGTACCTTTAAATTTGTAACAGTTCACAAGGTGGATACTGTAGACACATGCTTGAAGTGAAAACTGAGTTCTCAGGCAAGCTATAGGCCTAACTGGAGATTCAAACCCCTGGCCATCTTATTTCAAAGGCTGAGGCCCTACCATGCTGTTTGTCCTCCTCCATGGCCAGAGGAAGGGAGAGGCTTGGTGTCAGGCCAGCACATTCTCACCGGGGATGACATCTAAGCACATGGCAATGGACAGCAATGAAGTGAAGAGAAGGCTATAGCGTGTGGCTAGATCCTCAGGCCTTTAGATTCCAAAAAACAGCCACTGACGAGAAGAGACAGTGGGAAGCAGTCTCTGAGAACAGATCTAGCAGGGATCTGTGAGAAGTCTGTTCGCCAGGATGACCATCTTAAAGTTAAGCAAGATGCCACACTCATGCTGAGAACTGTAGGTCACAGGCTGACACACACCTCTAACAGAGTCCCCTAGCATCCCTGTGGGACTGGAAGCTAGATTCTACTTTAGGCTCTGCTTATTGAACCCAGGATGCTGACAGAAGAGCCCTAGAGAATGGGCTCAGACCTGGAATCACAGGCCAGCCTCGTTCCTCACAGGTAGCATAAGAGAGCCCTTTGACACTGACCTTCACAGAGGGACTCCATCTGACAGGCTAAGGGAGTCCATCAATGAGTGCATTAGCGCACCAGAAACGCAGGGCTGAAGGAAGACACTATCATCAAATAGTATTTTTCTTTGGTCACATTTCTGGGCTGTTCTACTCATAGATCACTATGAAATAACATCAAAAATATCATGTCACCTTGTGGATGACAAATATGGTTCTGCTGCATGAAGTCTCTGGATACCATAAGCGTTCACTCATTTAGGGTGTTAGTATGTAACAGTGAACAAATCTTTGTGGTATTTTTAAGCCCTGGGGCTGGATTCAGGATTCTGGGCATACTAGGCATGAACTCTAACCCTGAGTTACATTCCCTGCCCCCACATTTTTATTCCAGCAAGCTATTAGGCTGGGTATGGGGGTGCACACCAGCACCCAAGACACAGAGGCAGGTGGGTCTCTGTGAGGTTGAGGCCAGCCAGGTCTGCATAGCTAGTTTCAGCCCACCTGTGCTTTGTGGTAAGACCCTGTCTCAAGACACATACTTCCTCCCCTCCTTTTTTGGCAGTACTGGTGATTGAATTTAGGGACTCATGCATGCAAGGCAAGTGGTAGAGCACGTAACTAAACCCATACTTCAACTTCTTAGACACCTGAGCAAGGTGTAACGTCCTCACATCTGTACTGACCTGTAATATGGGAACAATGATACCTGGGTCTTGAAGACTCAAGGCCCGTCCATCAGTGTGGAATGGTGGAAAGATGGCAAAAGTTGCATTTTGATCTAGTGTCTGCTTCCCCTTGCTGGGTGATCTGGAGAAAATTCTTAGTCCCCCTGGGCTTGAAGATTCAATGGGTGTGAATGGGCATCTCAAAAGCCATTTGTCCCCACAAAAGGCCCTTGATCAAGTGAAGCCACTCAGTTCACAGTGCCTGCCTCTGTTTCTCCTAGTCACGTGAAGTCTTTTCTTTGGTTGGCCATTGCTTCATACTTGTCTGTCGCCTTGCCTCGACCTAAGTCACCCTCAACTTTACTCAACTCTGAGGACCACACCCTTTGCAGTGTTGGCAGTCTCCTGCCTCTAACTCATTAACCTCTCTTCCAGCATTCTACTATGGATGAGATGAGCCTACCAAAATTCATGTTGACATTTAGTCCCCACTATGAAGCATCAGTACTTGAGACCAGGGGCTGCCTCTCGGAGGGGTGATGGTCAAGAGGACCCTGAGTTGGTGGATTCATGGCATCTGAAGTGGCTGTTACAAAAGCCACCCTGACTGTCTCTTGGGCATGCTCACTTCTCACTGTGTGATGACTCATACCACCTGTAGATTGCTCACCAGCAAGAAAGTCCTCACCTGGTCCAGCCTTGGTGGCCCATGCCTTTAATCCCAGCACTCGGGAGGCAGAGGTAGGTCTACAGAGCAAGTTCCGGGCCAGAACAGGCTCCAAAGCAATACAGACAAACCCTGTCTCAAAACACACACACACACACACACACACACACACACACACACACACACACAGACAGACAGAAAGAAAGAAAGAAAGAAAGAAAGAAAGAAAGAAAGAAAGAAAGAAAGCCCTCACCAGGTGGGCTCCCTGGGCCTTGGACTCTCCAGCCTCTAAAACTGTGAGTTGAATAAACCTCTTGCATTTTTAAATTACCCTGCTTATGATGTTCAGTGATAGTCACAGGAAATGGGCTGACAGAACCCTTCCTCTTCCTACAGTCTCTCTTTTTATCACTCTGTATCCTCTTAGTCACACCACTGATAGCACCTGTGTCTCCTTTGAGGCACTCCCTCAAAGGCACCCTCCCTCTGTGCCCTGTACAGTCTTCAAGGTGAGGCCACGAACATCAGCTGCTGACATTAGTCCTGAAGGCACTAAGGTGCAGCCTGTCTGGCCTGAGGTGGAGGGTAGGCAGGGCAGGGACTTTTAGAATAAAATGGACAGGTGCACTGCTGTCTGGAGTCATGGGCTCCATCATCCCATATAGGAGATGGCCCTGGAAAGACGGCCTAGCAGTAAAGAGTACTTGCTGCTCTTGCTTGGATCCAGGCTTGAGTCTCAGCACCCACATGGCAGCTGACAACCATCCACATCCCCAGTTCT